ATTTTTTGCCTGCAGTTGATCTCCTCTGACTTCTTCAATGCCATGTTCTGTTGGGAATCGTAATAGTTGATGCAATGTTGAGGGAACTGCCCCCATTACATGCAACCATGGCCTTCCTAAGATGATGTTGTAAGGGGATGGTGTGTCGATTACGGTGAACTCTGTTGTTACCTTCCTGGTGCCTGCCTATACCTCTAAGCTGGTTGTTCCCAGTGGCCATGTCGGCGTTCCATTGAACCCGACCATTGGGCTATTGGATTGCTCCATATCTTCTGGGTGAAGGCCGAGCTCCTTGTAACATCGGACGTGCATGATGTCACAAGAGCTGCCTTGGTCACTCGTCTAGTCTATAAATGACATGTGAAAATGGACAAGTAGCATGTATTCAAGTTAGATTTGAAATACTTATGCAGTTAGTATGATGCGCCGAGCCTGGTGCATGCAATACTGATGAATGATGCACGCATGCATAGCATAAGGTATGCTAAAGTAAACATGTCCTAATACTAACCATCAAAAGCAGGTAAGTATAAGGGAGAAAGAAGTGGGGGTTGGAAGACATGCACACACGCACCCACACTTATTACAAATTCGCCCTCGCCCGGAGGGACCAAAAGAATATACAATTTAATTAACCTACAAGCTAATTAAATATTACAAGCCCTTAATTAATTAATAAATTAACTAAGCTATGGAAAGCAGTAAAAGGCCTCGGGAAGAGGAATGAATGCATGCATGCTCGGCTTTGCTCGGAAAGTCACTGCCATGCACAAGTTTGCCTCTGCTTTGACTGTTCTGCTTCTCTGAAAATTGCACAACTTCCAAGGTTGCTTCTCTGAGTGTTGTGGGACACTACCGGCTGAGTGAGATCATCACCGGCCATTTAGAATGGTCATCGGCTAAACATTGTGCTCTCGGCCAAACCTGTTTTGACGGTCGGCACTAAACACTGCCGGTCGGCAGAAAGTTCTTGCAGAAACCTGTTTGACAGCAGCAGAGGGCAAACAAGGCATGGCAATGCATTTTCAAAGCAATGTGTGCACCACCACATCCCTTATCATGTTTGTGACTCAAAGGGGTATGGTCTCAGT